GCCCTGGCTGCCCGCTCGCTGGGATTACGAAAGGCTGGTGGGCGTGGGAGGAGCAGGGGGGCTGCCGGGGACCTCCAGGCCCCGGGGGGGACAGGGCTGGGCAGCCCCGGCCGTTCCCCAGGAAACAGCAAAAAGGAGTCTGCGCCCCTGACTTTGATGGTGGCCGAGGGTCTGGGCCGCAGAGGGAGGGGAAGCCATTGGGATCCCTGGGCTCAGCCGGCGCCAAGCCCCCCATCCCACCTGGGGTCGCCCACTTTTCTTCCCAGGGGCTGTGGGGCTGCTTTGCCGGACCAGGAAACCCCAGTGAACTTTGTAGATGCCGCCCCTTACGGAACTTTAAAAAGCCAACATTTTGTTCCTTTATAAAGTATACCTGGGTAATTTGGAAAGCAAACGGCGACACAAAGGAGAAAACAGTTCCTCGCCGTGCTCACCATCTTGGGAGAGCCGTTGTTAATGTGTTAGCGTGTGTCTGCCCGGCTTTTGTTTTGTGGCTATACATAAACATACATGTATAAATAGTTCTTTAAAGACAAAATGGAATCGCCCGCACGTGCCGCTTTGTAACCCGCCCTCTGTACTGTGATTCCGGAGAGCATGTATTCAGTGGCTCTCATTCCGAGTGACTCAAGCCTTGATGCTCTTCGTCCCACCTCCGTGTTCTTACACGGGGAGAGGCTTGGGCGCTGCGTGTGTGGAGGGGTCCGTCCACCCACCTCGCCGGCTGACCTTGGGGGCTGGTGTTCCCTCCTCTCCCCCGAAGGCCTGTGGGCCCCGCCTGGAGGCCTGCCTGCTGGTGTGGGAAGGAGCGAGCGTGAGCCCGTGGCCGTGGGGGACTCACCCTCTCTCCCTTTCTTCCCTTGTCCCTCTCAGAGCCTGCGGCCCGCATCCGCCCGCCACAGCCCTGCCCGCCTCGGCCCCATGCCCCCGCCAGTCAGCCCCGGGCCACAGGCAGCGTGTCGGCACGTGGGAGCCGAGGCCCTGTGACCAGGCCGAGGAGGCGAGGGCTCTGTGGTCCCAGTCACCTGTCCCCCCATGGAGCTGAGGCCCTGGTTGCTATGGGTGATAGCAGCAGCGGGACCCTTGGT